GGGCTCGGAGATGACTCCGCGGTGATGTCTACGGATAAAAGACATCAATCGAGTCTGCAGCAATTCAAATTATTCCCAGCCACGATTTACCACTTCTCAATAGGCGTCATTTGACCATAAACATCTATTTGAGTTGCACAAAATGACATCTACGCAATTACACGCTGACTGGACATCTTCTGTCGACAAGTACGAAGAAGGCTTTGAGAGCATCTTCATCGGCGAACCAGAAACAACCCGAGCCGATCTGAAACGTCTCTTTACTGAAGACTATACATCAATTGTGGACGGAAAATGTATCGACTTTCCCGAATTTGTCGAGCATATTCAACATCTGCGACAGGTTACGACAGCTATCAAAGTCCGAGTAACGCACTTTCTTCGCCGAGGGGACCAACTCGCCGAACGCCATTTCGTCACTGCGGAATTCTCCAACAAACCTCCATCTAGATATGAGGTCTTTCTTTTCGCGACTGTTGATGAAAGTGGAAGGATTGAGAGGCTGGTGGAGACGTTGAGGCAGATGGATGGGCTGGAGGAGCATAAACATCTAGGCAGCGCCAGGGCTTAAGTAGTTTACCTTAGGCAAAGTCAATGAGAAGGCTATTCGCAAGAGAATCTCGGGGCTTAGATTACTTTCCATCAATTATAATTATCATGAAGACTCCCAGGGTATAATGCTATCTAAACCTTACCAAAATAACAATAAACAACCAGAACAAAAGAAATGATTAGGTGTCCTTGACCGCCTCTATCAGCTTCCATTCCCACATCGTCTGATGCTGGATGCACTCTTGAAGAATCTCAGGATCTTCCCACCACCAACGTTCAGCGACGATGTATTCTCGCCAAACTTCCATCCAGAGCATACGGCCCACAAGATTACGAAGTTCTTGTCTCATTCCCTCTTCAGATATGTGACCTTCCCTCACATACTGAAGCTGAGTGTTGTCAAGAGGAATGGCAAAGAACTGTGTCGTCTCGATAGAATCGGGATCGACATGAAGTGATGCACCATTTAGCCAGAGAGGGAGTAGCTTGCTAGGGTTTGTGCAGCGAAAACTAGCTTCCAGATTAAAGAGGAGATGATCCTCAATCCACGCTCGGAGAAGAGGCCCGAGAGTGCTAGTGACGGGGAGGGGATCGATGATGGTGAGTTGTAATGAACCACCTGGCTCAAGACATCGATGGATGTTTCTTAAGAGAGCGGGGATGTCTTGTGAGGGCATAGCGAGAGGAAGACGCAGTGAGTGAACAGCTTCAATGGTTGATGGAGCGACGGGGAATGCGGAGGGTGATCTCACTGGCGTGAGGACAGGGTGAATATTGGGGAATGAAGCGGGTGATAATGGTGCTGCGGAGAGATGATAGACTTGCTTGCTGTGATTCACGGCAGCGAGGTATGAAGTCACAGCTGTGAAATGTCAGTGAATGAGCTGAATAAGTGAGTGAGATTGCTTACCAGGCGTTTCATAAAGAGCAAGAATCCTCTTCGGCGGATCCGCAGACTCATCATCGAGATCATCATCATTAATCTCAGAATATTCCGGTCCATCCATGTTGAACATAGCAGAGAGCATCCACTGCATCTTCTCAACCTCCAGATCCTGGCATAAACCTGGTGGATTATTAACACCCTGCGACTCAGCAAGACGTACAAGTCTGATCATATTGTCCTCTTTGGCAAGTTGCTTGACACCCAACTGCATCGCGTTGAGTTCCTTGGGGATGGTAGCTTCTGGCTCGGGGACAGGTTCGTCTGGGAATTGGAATGAGGGCTCTGTGGGCGTGCAGGCCCATTCACTTGGAGGCTGCCAACTATCGCTGCTTTCGACTCGTAGAGACGCTGTGGACGATGGCATGCGTCGTGGGGTCTTGGCTTTGGTTGGTGATCGACTGCTCTGTGGACGTTGAGGTTGAGATCTAAGTGAGATAAGTACATGACCGCGGTGAGCTGACGTGAAGACTGACTGAGTACTTGGTGAGCGAGCGCGATGCTTAGATTTGAAACTCGGCGTCGCCATTATGGTAACACCGCAATTGACGAGGTACGGTGTATCGTAGGACGTGCGTTGAGATGTTGTCGCTTCGGTACTTCGCGCGATGAACGAGTCATCGCTCAAAGCCTGAATGAGTGGCCATGGCTGTATGATGACACGCTCAAGGGTTTCTGTATCCCACGGCGCGGACGAGGATGTGAGTGTTGGTGAAGGCGGCTCAAGAAGCGTGTTATCCCCAATGTATACCTCTACCAAAGCATTAGCATAAAGTGAATGACATACCGCGCGACGTCGCAAACCTTGAGAGCGCTCCATAATCTGCCCATTTCGCCTTGCGCTGAGATCAACGACCCTCGCCATGTTCATCGTCGTCTGCTCACTCCCGGCCGAAAACGTCGAAGCCTCATCTGCCTCCAACTCATAATTCCCCGCCCCAGCGCTCGCTTTCGAAGACGTCGACGACACAGAATCATTCCCCCTCTCGGCATTCTTTCTCTTATTATAAAAGTTCCCAAACGACGGTGCTTCATTCGACGAGTTCGATCCACGACTAAAGATCGACCGCGCCTTTGTCGCAGATTTGGCCGTCGCCGCTTTATTCTCACGGTGTTCCTTTCGCGACTCCTTGGGAGCAGCCCAACTGACCTCCCACATGTTGAGGCGGTATCGATCAAGGTCTGAGATTCGGAGGGCGAGGTTCGACGCTGGTTTTCGGAGGATGGAGTAGAAGCGGCCGCGGGTGGAGGACTCTGACGATACCGCTGCTGCTGCGTCTGGTTCTGTTAATGAGGACGGCGCCATGGTGTCATGCATGCTGAGCTGAACGATAACAAACAAAAATAGCAAAAAGCTTGATGAGGGGAGACAGGGAACAGGGGGGGAGGGGGCGGAATTGTATGAGGGTTGCATACGAAATTAAACAAGAGAGAAACATACCCAGGGGATTGGGTCAAAAGGGGCGAGAGGG